TGATCGTGAATAAATCTGGCTAGAATGCCTGCCCTCGTGGGTGGACAGTCTCCTTGGAGGAGAAACTGTACATACAGCTCTTAAAACACTGCCCCTGCCCCCCCCCACACACACACACCCTACCCCTCCCCGACTCCAGGGCATCTGGTGACAGCATGGGTGGCTCCCTGTCCAGGGCTGATGTCCAGTGTGGAACGTGAGAGCCCCTGTGTCCCCTGCCTCATGAAGAAACTGCTTCTCTTCTAGTGTCTCCCTGTACCAGGGACTGCCCCCACCCTGACCTCCCCTCCTTCCTCTCTCTCATCCCTGCCCACAGCTGCTCACTCCTAAGTGACCGTCCTCTCCCTCCCTGCTGTCACCTTTACCCCTCAGTATCTTGTCCTGTGTTCTGGTCCCCACACTGCTGCTGGGAATTCTCCAGAGCTGGTTTGGGCCCGAGTCTTTCTTTCTCTGAACTGCCCACTACTCATTCCAAAGATACTTGTCCTCACCAGGCCAGGGCCCCACCTGTCCCACACCCTTCCCAGCAGCTCTGTCCCCCTGTGCTGCCCTCCAGCCACACTGAGCTCCTTCCTGCCCAAGACTTGGTGGCTCTCCCTGTGTGTCTTTGCTTTGCCCCCACGGTTGGCTGCTCAGTGACATTCAACCCAACTATAACTAAATCACTCCCTGTGTCTCCCCACTAGACAGTGAACTCTGTGAGAATCTTCTTCAGGGCGCTGTGCCCAGCACCTTGCAGTCTATTGGGTGGGTTGGATACATGCATCCCCGTTTTACAGATGAACAAACTGAAGCACAGAGAGGTGAGGGGCTGGCCTGAGGCCACACAGCTAGAAAGTGGCAGGCTGACATCAGAACCCAGGTCTCGGGGGTGGGCTTTGGCTCTGCGGCATGCCTGTCCTGCCTTGGTCCTCCCTCTTGTGTGAGCCTTCCAAGCTGGGGGCCTGGAGCACCCCTCCAGGGACTAGGGCCAGCCTCCTTTGACCACCTTTGCCCTGGTCACTTGGGTCCCACTACCCAGAGCTCTTTCTCGTTTGCAGCCTGGGGAGGTGGGTTGGGGCTGCTAAATCCCTGGATGGGACTCCCTGGGCTCTGTCCCCACTTGGTTCCTCAGTTTCCCCTACCTCCTCATGCAGAGGGACAGCTCCTGGAAGCTATGTGCTTCCTTCACATGGTATTCCCTGTCTCTGCCTCCCTTCTCTGATTGCCCTGAGTGTGTCCTGGTGGTGACAGTGACTTTGATGACAATGAGAAGGAGGGCACAGCCAAGGGAAATCATGGGTTCAGTGCCCAGACAGACCCTGGTTTGAATCTTCTTCCTACCACTTACTCACCAATGACCTTGGGACAGTCCTTAAATTCCTCGTTGCCTCAGTTTTCCCAGCTGAGTATTGGGAATATGAAATCTACTCCAGAGGTTTGTTGAGAGGATTCAGGGAGCTCATGCATGTCACCTGTCGGCTTTTCCTCTGGTAGCCTGTGTGCAGGGAGGGGCAGGACCTGCCATCTCCCTCCAGCTCTGCCACATGGAGTAGCTCAGTGAGTCCAGATTGAGTATACAGAATCAGATTGGCCTTAGCATCTATATCCAAATGGAGTGGAGGTTTGGAGCGCCTGACCCCAGAAGCCATTCAGTTCTGGAGCCTGGGTTCGTGCTGGCCCCATAGTGCCACTCTGAGCCCGTTGGCATATGGCCACTTCTGTTCCTCCAAGCAGCCTTTCGGAATGAACCCGGTGTTACCAGGTTAGGGCCCAAGTCTCTACTAGGTTCCAAAGCTCAGCCCAGGCAAGCAGCTGAGAATGAACTTGCTAATGAATGAAAACCGTGAAAGGTAACATGGAAATGAGGGAAGACCAACTGGGGGCTCTAGTTAGTTCCTGCCCTAGGACCTTTGCATGCACTCATCATTTCTCACCAGCCTAACTGTTCAGGCCTCTCTCTTCACTCCTACCCTGCCCATTTAGGACTGCTGCCCTCTCCACCCTATAGAATTGCAGGGGACACTTTTATCCCTGGGGGCACTTGTAAAGCCATATGATCCTTCAGAGCCCTTTTATGGCTGCCCCCAGAGTACAGGACTTGCCCTTCCCACCCCACCAGTTCTCCTGGGTTGGAATGTGCACTGATGGAATAGTCTGATGAAGTGCAGACGTTTGAAAGGACCCTGGGCCTGCCAGGTGGTCTCCCCACAGGTCAGGATAGGGGCTGGGCTCCCTGAGCAGGTTCACAGGCAGTTCCTTAAACTTGCATTTTCTTTCCCACCCACCCAGCAGCACTTTGAGATTAATTTACATAAATGTGTGTGGTATGATTTCACACATTTTATTTATTTTAAAATATTATTTATTTTTGGGCTGGGGGAGGCGGTGGCAGGGAAGAAGAAAAAATTATTTTTGTAAGCAGGCAATACATTCACCAGGTTCAAAATTCAAAAGACCCATAGAATGTGGCAAGTCTCGTCCCCAGTTCTGCCCAGAAGAAGCTTTGTGGTTTCAGTTTTATTGAGATGCACATACCATGCAGTTCACTCATGTAAAATGTACAGTTCAGTGGTTTTTAGTGTAGTTGTGAATCCACCACAATATTAGACGTATTTCATTATGTCAAGAAGAAACCCTGTAAGTTGGGTCCTTGGACCCAATTCCACATTGGGGGGTGGTTTCCCCACACCAGTAAACAATTCTCAGACACCAAAAGGGTGTCTGAGAATTCAACTCGATTCTAACGCTACCTGGAGATAGCTTCAGAATCCACAGGTAAAGGGCTCTGTCCTACAAAACTGTCCCTTCCCCCATAACACATACAGTTTAGATGCCAAACGCAAGCCCAGGTTACCTGTGCTGCTTCTGATTGGCCACAGATTGGAGGTCCCAATGACCCCCTCCAACTCAGAATGCCAATTACAAGTCCAGGTTGTCACCTATGTTTCTGAATAACGGGGTATAAATCAGAGGTTCCCACAACCTCCTTGGTTTCCATTAATTTGCTAGAGCTGCTTACAGAACTCAAAACATGTCACTTAACTATATCACTGGTTTATTGGTAAAAGAATATAACTCAGGAACAGCCAGATGGAAGAGATGCGGAGGGCCTGGTATGTGGGAGGGGGGCCCGAGCTTCCATGCCCTCTTTTTTTGGGTTGCTATGGAGGCTTCTTACATTGGCTGACCGATTAAATCACTGGCCTTTGGCAATTGGTTCAATCTTCAGCCCTTCTCCCCTCCCCAGAGGTGGGGGCACTGACAGTTCCACCCCTCTAGTCACATGGTTGAGTCCATTAGCAACCAGCTCCCATCCTTAGGTGCTTCCAAAAGTCACCTCCTTAACATAACAAAAGACCTTTTTCAGTCTCAACACTTGGGAAATTCCAAGAGTTCCTGGAGCTGTGAGTCAGAAATTGTGGACAAAGACTGAATACGTATGATATATTTTGGTTATCTGAATGAGCAAATATATATATTTCGTTTTTTCTTTTTTTTAAAGATTTTTGAGGAATTGGGGGAAGGGGAACAGCGCTGGGGAATTGGGGGAAGGGGAACAGACAAGTTGCTGTCCTCTTGTTCTTCAGTCTAGTTGTGGAGGACGTCGCTTCACTGGCCCAAGTTGGCACCATCATTGTGCTCTTCACGGGCGAGGCGGCAGATTAGTCGCAGGCTTCAGTGGCTACTGACTGCTCACGCTGGCTGCCGGCTACACACGGTAGCCCATGGCAACCCACTGCAGCAGGGGCTGCAGCCTACGCTGTCGCAGGCGACTCTCTGGCAGCCCAGCTCCAGGTTGAGCTGTTGTTCATGCTAGCATCTTAGCTGTAGAGGGCAGTGTCACTGGCCCTCATATGTGGGATCCAAACCAGGGCCCTCTGGGGTCCCAAGCCAGCTCTTAACCAACGCGCCACTTGGCCGGCCCCCAAATATGTATTTCTTATAAATCACAATATTATACCCTGCATCTATTTGCTCACACTAACCCCCAATTCTCCCATTCCCCCCAGCCCCTAGCAATCACTAATCTGTTTTCTGTTTCTATGGATTTGCCTGTTTTAGACACTTCATATCAATGGGATCATATATTATGTGGTCCTTTGTTTGGCTTCTTGCATTTAGAATGATGTTTTCAAGGTTCATCTAAGTTGCGGCATGTATTGGTTCATTTTTATGGCCGAGTAATATTCCGCTGTATGGATGGACCCCATTTCGTTTCTCACTTGATGGATATTTGGGTTTCCACCTTTTGGCGGTTGTGACTAGTGCTTCTGTGAACGTTTATGTACAGGTTTTTCTGTGGATATACGGTTCCATTTCTCTTAGGTGTAACTGTAAGGGATGGAATTGCTGGGCCATATGGCAACTGCATGTTTAACCATTTGAGGACTCACAAGATGGTTTTCCACAGCAGCTGCACCATTTTGTGTTCCCACCAGCAGTGTGGGAGGGTTCTGATTTTTCATCCTTGCCAGCACTTACCTTTTTTTTTTTTCCAGCCAGCCTAGTGGGTATGAAACGGTGTCTCATTGTGGTTTGGATTTGCATTTCCCTGATGACTAGTGGTATTCTCGTGCAATTTCAGGGCTTCTTGAGTGGTCATTCAGTCATACAACAAACTGGTTGAGGGTCATATGCTCAGCACTGCAGGCGCCATGGGAAAAACTGGATGACTGCCCTCTGGGAGTTTCCATGCCAGTGCCCTTCAGAATCACCCTATGTGTGGAGTGCTAGTTAGTAATGCTTTAATTCTCACAAGTGCTCACTGTGTTCATTCATTTCATATTAAGCACATGTGTGTAAGTTTGCCTTTGCCCCATTGTCTACAAGTGACAGCATGTGGCCACCCTGGCCTGTAGCTGGTATGGCTAATTTGTGACAGTCTATCCCTAAAGGGATGGAAGGAATGGGTGGCTCCTGCGATTCTTATCATGGCAAATCCACCACATGGATGTCCATGAGAGCAGGCTAAGCCGGCCGCCTGACCATCTCCCTCTGTCTCCTCGTCCCCCACACAGCCGCCGCCGCCATGGCCCAGACCCTGCAGATGGAGATCCCGAACTTCGGCAACAGCATTCTGGAGTGCCTAAACGAGCAGCGGCTACAGGGCCTATACTGTGATGTGTCAGTGGTAGTCAAGGGCCATGCCTTCAAGGCCCACCGGGCCGTGCTGGCCGCCAGCAGCTCCTACTTCCGGGACCTGTTCAACAGCAGCCGGAGCGCCGTGGTGGAGCTGCCGGCAGCTGTGCAGCCCCAGTCCTTCCAGCAAATCCTCAGCTTCTGCTACACAGGCCGGCTGAGCATGAACATGGGGGACCAGTTCCTGCTCATGTACACGGCTGGCTTCTTGCAGATCCAAGAGATCATGGAGAAGGGCACCGAGTTCTTCCTCAAGGTGAGCTCCCCCAGCTGCGACTCCCAGGGCCTGCACGCCGAAGAGGCACCGTCGTCCGAGCCCCAGAGCCCTGTGGCACAGACGTCAAGCTGGATGGCCTGCAGCACCCCACTGCCCCTCGTGTCTCGTGTCAAGACAGAGCAGCAGGAGTCGGACTCCGTGCAGTGCACGCCCGTGGCCAAGCGGCTGTGGGACAGCAGCCAGAAGGAGGCTGGGGCCAGCGGCGGCAGTGGTGGCAATGGCAGCCGCAAGATGGCCAGGTTCTCCACGCTGGACCTGGCTGCCAACCGGCCACCCCAGCAGGCCCTGGTGGCAGCGGCAGCGGCGGCGGCGGCAGGGGGCGTGGTAAGCGGGCCCAGCATGTCGGAGCGGACCAGCCCAGGCACCTCTAGCGCCTACACCAGCGACAGCCCCAGCTCCTACCACAATGAGGAGGACGAGGAGGAGGATGCGGGCGAGGAAGGCACGGACGAGCAGTACCGGCAGATCTGCAACATGTACACTATGTACAGCATGATGAACGTCGGCCAGAGTGGTGAGGTGCCCACCCCACCCCCTCCACCACTCTCCGCCCCGTCTCTTCCCCCCAACCCCCGCATCACTCCCATCCCCGACACACACCCCTCTCTCCCCCTCAGCTGAGAAGGTGGAGGCCCTCCCTGAGCAGGTGACCCCCGAGTCTCGGAATCGCATCCGGGTGCGGCAAGACCTGGCATCTCTCCCGGCCGAGCTCATCAATCAGATCGGTAACCGCTGTCACCCCAAGCTCTATGACGAGGGCGACCCCTCCGAGAAGCTGGAGCTGGTGGCAGGTGGGCCAACCTCACTTCTTTTCTGAATCCCCTTCCCCTGACCAGGGGCCTCAGTGCCCTCTGTGCTAGTGGCCTACAGCACAGCCTTGGGGTCCAGTGCAGCCTTGCCACTTCCTGTCCGTGTCCTGCTGTAGTTGATACCCCTCAGCACTGATACACATCAAAGACTGGCCTCTAGGTTTGAACCCTGGAGGCAGGTGTAAGCGCTGGCTTACTTCGTTGGCCACGGAGGTAGATGAATGGCTTCTTAGGGTGGTGTGATGATTAACTGCACAGTGGTGAGGAATTTGGCCCTCGAAATCAGGGTGCCTGAGTGCAAGCCTCCACTGCCTGTTCTTTCGGACACCCAGCTGGTTGTACAGGCAAAAGCTGCACGTGTGGGCCGGCTGAGTGGCTCAGTTGGTTAAGAGCTTGCTCAAGAGTGTGAGTTCTGAGCAACACGGTCACCGGTTCGATTCCCACATGGGCCAGTGAGCTGCGCCTGAGGTGAACTGCCAACAGGTGGCAGGATGGCTCAGCTAAAAGAAAAAAGAAAAAAAAAACGAGGTCTGAATATAAAAAACAAAAAACTGCACGTGTACAAGGTGGGCCCGGTGTGATGTAGGTGCCTTATGGACGGTGGCACCACCTGAGCCCTGACAAGGCTGCCCTGGGGCGAGTTGTTGGGGAGGGGCTCTGGGGGCTCTTAAGAAGTGGGACTGGCCATGTGGGGAACGTGGCAATTTGGGGCCCCCAGCCACCCTCCTTTTCTCCCTCCAGGCACCAACGTGTACATCACAAGGGCACAGCTCATGAACTGCCATGTCAGCGCGGGCACGCGGCACAAGGTCCTGCTGCGGCGCCTCCTGGCCTCCTTCTTTGACCGGTGAGGCCCTTGCTAGGTCCCAGGGAGTGGAGTATGCCCCCAACCACCACAGAGGGCCTGGCTTCTCTCCTTATGACCACCTCCCCGCTCTCCAACCCCCAGGAACACACTGGCCAACAGCTGTGGCACTGGCATCCGCTCTTCCACCAACGACCCCAGACGCAAACCGCTGGACAGTCGCGTCCTCCATGCTGTCAAGTGTGAGTGTCCGGCCTTCTAGAGGCAGGCTGGGGTGGGGCCTGGGGTGAGCAGATGGTCCTTTTCGCTCGTGTTGGCCCCAATACATGGGTAGAGTTTGGTGTTAAGAAGGTTTCTGAGGTTGAATCAAGTCTTGGGAAGAGGGCTGTGATTGGTGAGAGATTTCTTCCCGGTGAGGGGGGTGAAGGGCATTGAAGGGAAACCTGTATCAGATGTGTTGGAGGAATCCTCAAACTCAAAGTGGTCATGGCAGTTATGAAGCAGCCAGGCCCCAGCCAATTGTTAGGAAGGCACTCTAGGTTTCCACATGGAATCTCCCAGATCCTAAGTTCTGGCAAATGATTCACGTTTTCAGGAACAATGGGCCACCCCACCAAGCCCGCACATCCCCCACTTGTGGCCGAGCTCAGTCAGTCATGGGGCTGGCTGATGTGGTTTAACGTGCTGTCTGCAAGGCCTCCCTTCTCATCTCCAAGGGGTGTTTCGGGGTGTCCTGTAGGGGGACCAGGGGAGGCAGCGCCATGCTGGCCCTGAGCCATCTGCTGTGCCTGCACAGACTACTGCCAGAACTTTGCCCAAAACTTCAAGGAGAGCGAGATGAACGCCATCGCGGCCGACATGTGCACCAACGCCCGCCGGGTTGTGCGGAAGAGCTGGGTCCCCAAGGTGAAGCTGCCTGAGGGCGATACCTACACCACCTTCATCAATGACACAGGCAAGCTGGAGCCGGACATGATGGGCGTGGAGCACAGCTTTGAAACGGCCAGCCACGACGGCGAGGCCGGCCCCTCGGCGGAGGCCCTCCAGTAACAGCCCTCACCAGGCCCTGCTTGGGGCCATGACACTCCCCTTCCTATCACACTC